ACCTTGAGAAACAGACAAATAACAAGTCTCCAGAATAAAGGGACTCTACTGGGAACCCCAAATAGGGAACCCCAAGAATATAGCAGGAATATAATGGAATATAAGGACCCTGGTAGGTATATTCCTATTCTATACCTACTATATTCTTGGGGGTCCCGGTTTGGGGTTCCCAGTAGAGTCCCTTTACATAAAGCACGGAGGCAGGACAGAATCATAAGACGCAGGGTTTGGAATCCTAAGTTGAAAGAAACATGGAAACTGGTATCTTATTCATGTTCAGTCGAAGAGACAATCCCAAAGCCTAAACCCGAAACTTTGTAATCGTCTCTACATTCCCTCCCCAATTCCTTTGAAGCCTAAACGCTGAACCTCAAATCCTGAGCCTTAAAAGCCTTAAACCATAATCCTTGTTCAGTAACACAATAGCCATCTACTGGCCTTTGGTTAGCTAGGAATGGAGGAATGGATCCTTATAGTAGTCCCTACATAACCCATTACAGTAGTTTCCATTTTCTTTTCCATTCCTTCATTCCCAGGGAACCAAAGGCCACCCCAAACACCCTAAACCGTAGACCAAATAGCAGTTTCCATTTTCTTTTCCACTATTGCTATAGAACCCTAATTCTACCGCAAAGGGTATCTATATCCAGCAAGTAAATTTCTTCATATAACGCCTTTCCTAGGAACCCCAATATATCCCCTATAATCCCTATATAACCCTAATATATACCCCATAATCCGCAATAATCCCTATAGGTGACATTGATCCAGTCTAAGCTACCCTAAACCCTAAACCCTAAACCTTAAACCCTAAACCCTAAACCCTAAGCTCCGGGCAAAGGCAGGCGGGGCAGAGGCCACAACTGCTGCCAACTGCTCCGAGGTGGCGGCGCCATGCCTCAGAAGTGAGGTTTCTAGGGGTTTAGGGTTTAGGGTTTAGGGTTTAGAGTTTAGGGTTTAGGGTTTAGGGTTTAGGGTCTAAGGTTTGGGGTTTAGGGTTTAGGTTTCTATGGGTTTAGGGTTTAGGGGGTTCAGGGACATACAAGAACATGTGGAGATAGAAAAGGCTTCAAGTTTTGAAGACATGGATTAATTAGATGGTTGGTGTCTTATAGGGTTCTGAGGCTTAGGGACCCTAAACCCGAAACTCTTCACCCTGAACAGGGTTGACAATGTAGGGTTCCCTAAACCCTAAACCCTAAACCCTATGTAGGGTTCGTTTTAGATAAACGGCTCTTTTCTTCCCAGCTCTTTGCTTCGAAATGCTTCTCAAAAACCACGCTACCACTGTCTCGTTAGGGACTATTTGAGGGTTTTGGGCTTAGGGTTGAGGGTTTAGGATTTGGGTTTCGAGGGGTTGGGTTTTGGGGATTTAGGATGATTTCTCGGTTCACCCCCTGACTTGTCTCCCAGGTCGCTCTTGCCCATGCCCATAACCCCGTTCGCTTGCTAGAGCTCCCCCCGTGATTCCAGTGTTGAGGGCTTCAGGAAAGTTAAAGGTTTAAGGTACAGGATATCAACCCTAAACCCTAAATCCCTAAACCCTAAAACCTAAAACCTAAGCCCTAACACTCTGAACCCCTAAACCCTAAACCCCTGAACCCTAAAACCTAAGCCATAAAACCTTAAACCCTACGCCCTAAACGCCTAAACCCTAAACCCTATATTTGGTCTAGGTTGTGTCGATCCCCTACCCAATAATGGGTACCACAAGGGATGATTGTAGGTATGTTAAGGCCCTATTTACTCCAGATTGAGGAGCTATTAAACTATAGGCGGGATTGACCAAAGGTCTAGGGGCTAAGGGTTTGGGGCTCAAGGCGCGTTTAGGGCTATGGACGAGGTACAACATCTGCAGGGAGAAGCCTGCCGACTGTAACACCACCAAGAGCCCTAAACCCTAAACACTAAACTGCTGAGCAGAAGCTAACGACCCCGGCGGCACGATGACCCAGTTTTAGGGTTGCTGTTACCATAGTATGGGTATGTAGCAAACTTCCAACACAGTTGTAGGGTTTAGGGATTCGAGTGTAAGCTTCATGGGTAGGGACTCTGCCTTTTGAATGTTAACGACACCTGCAAACCCTTGAAACCTAGGCATTTTGCAACCTCCGGGTTTCGAAAATACCCCGAAATCTTTGAAATCCCACACAGTCACCACACGATCCCTTTGAAGCCGAAACCTGTAAAACCCTGTAAGACATCAGCGTAAGAAACCTTAATGAAAGTCCTCACAAACGTATATGTCAGAATTATACTGACGCATTTTTGGGGCTCTAGAAGGTTAAGCTAACCCCATGCCGAAATCCTCAACCCTCCAAAACAAGCACACACATAATCCCTTTGTAATTCGTCGGATCCCTGATTGATCCCATTGTCTGCAAGCCGCAAACAGATGTAGCTTTTTCTTGACTATATGTACCCGGAAGGAGGAGAGAACCTTACTCTCTATCAGGGACTACAGCATATCTGTTCCAAATCCAACATAACCCCTACATAATCCCAGTTTCCATCTGATTTCCCCTTTGACTCTCCATGAAAAAGAAAACGGTAATATCCCCAAAACCTTCCACCCGAAACCCCTAACCCCAAACCCTAAACGCTTTTAGGGGGAGGCGATGATAAATTAGGCAAGCAGCTGTCTAGAGCCGCCAAGGACCTCGTCCGCCCGACTGGACCTGCAGTCTTAGAATTACAGGATTTGAGGTTTCCCCTAATCCTTGCTAGGGATGGTGAGGGGAAATTATGAGAAACGCCCATCTCGGATTTCGGCTTCCAAGGCTTAGGTGAGAGTTGACTTAAACCCTAGACCCTCAACCCTAAATCCTAAATCCTAAAAGATTACAACTAAGAGTAACGGGTGCCCAGAATCTGATTGGGCAGTCAAGGCTGAGGCCTCGCGTATGGCTTATGATAGAACCCCAAAAGAAACCCCTATGCTGAAAAGTAAACCCTAAACCGTAGGGGTGGGAAACATGGGGTTTACCGTTTAGATGCAAGGCTTCCTACAACTTGGATTGTTGGTAGGTGACAATGTGACAACTGCTGCCCCAACTTTACGGCACCATACTGATCCAATGCTGTGACATTGGCCGTTTCTCGTGCAAATTGCTAACTGTTGAGAGATTGGGGTTAGCCCTAAACCCTGGACCCTAAACTCTAGATCCTAAACTCTAGACCCGAGGGTCTAGGCCTACCAGACACCAGCCGTAGCCACGCACATCCTGCGAAAGACAACAATGATCATCAGCCAAAAACAACACTTGAAAAAGATGTCTGTGGGGCCTCCCCAGAAATCCCACAAAAAGGCCAAGGAGAATAGGTCATGAGAACCTCATATCCTCCGTTGAAGAATTTCGGAGACTTGTCCTCATATAATCCTCAAGGCGCCATATACATAAACCCTGTATACTGTCCGTTCATTCCAAATTCTTAGGGTGCCTGGGCGTGCCCCGATTTTGAGAAGCCCCGATACACCTCCGATATGAAGGAAATGGCGCCGAGCCCCCTGACATGTCGGCGGAACTCAGCTCCATCCTCTGCGTGATGACCTGGTACGGTGTTTCAAGCTTTCGGGTTTATTTGGGCTTATATAGGGATATTGGAAACTACTATTATGTATAATAGGTGTTATAGGGATAATGGAAAACATAATGGAAACTACTATAATTAGTGTTAAAGCTTCAGGGCATGAAAAGCATGTAAACTTCTCTACAACTCTGGAGACAGCATATGTATGGACATTACATACATGCTAGATGATCCGCATCCACAGGGTCAGATGCCCAAGACAACATCATGCCTGCCCTAAACCCTAAACCCTAAACCCTAAACCCTATATTCTATGTACTAACCGTGTTTAAAGAACCGACAGGATGCCTCCGAGCAGGGCAGGAGCATAAACCATCCCCCCCAAAGCTACCCATTTTCTATTAGGCTTTACGTCTAGGGACTATAATACCAGAGGTAACCTCCCTAGGGTTTTAAGAGCTAATAAAGACCACATAGGGCATTGGCATAATGAGGAATCTGCGGGGAGTACCTTTGGGGGGGACAGCATGGTAACCCCTAACTAAGGGCATAAGCACTAAGTAATGTTCCGAAGGAACACCGGCTACACTTTAACAACCGAAGCTAAGCCCCATTCATATCATTAGGCTTCACATGTATGCATAGGAAGATATAGCTCATCATCTACAGTAAACCCTTAAAACCCTAAACCCTTAACCCTTAAAACCCTTAACCCTAAACCCTAAGGCTTGGTAAGGATCCTTGAAACAGGACTCGACGACCCTCCAAAAATGGCACAATCTCTGTACATCCCAAAACCATAAGCCCTAATCTCATCTGGTCGCAGATATCTCTGCACAGTCTCAATGTCATGATCTTCCTGTTTTGAGTTTCCGCACAGGCTGAAAAGAATCTGAGGCACCCCACTGTCTCACAAACCCTAGACCCTAAACCCTAAACCCTAAACCCCAAACCCTAAACCCTAAACCCCAAACCCTAAACCCTAAACCCTAAACCCCAAACCCCAAACCCTAAACCCTTAACCCCTATTTGCACGCATCTGAGCATCCCGCGGACAGCATCTGGGTCAGTGCTGTTTGGGCCATTCGCTGGTTGGATTGGCTTTTGGAGTCCTGCGGCGCTCTGCTGGTGATTCTAGGTTGCTGTCAAGGAACTTGAATTAAGTTACTATATTTTAGGGTTTAGGGTTTAGGGTTTAGGGTTACTATATTGGAGAAACCCTATTATTTACTATATATTCCCATTATGGTAACTTAATTTAAGGGTAAATATATATATATATATAGTAATTGAAGTGGATCATCCCAAGGCATACTCAATCAACCACGTCGGCAAACTCATCACACGTTCCCTATCTCCATAGCAGGCCTGTTTGAGGAACATGTTTCATAAACCTCATGTTGGTCATGCGACTGTTCATGCCAGGCATGCTCCATCCGAGTCCCGGTACAGCTTCATGCAAGTATCCACCGCGAGCATCAAGCTTTGGCCATGGACCTGGCATGAGATTGCTCCCAACACCAAATGGGCGCATTGTATCCGATGTCTCAATACCTCCCTGTATCAATTTGTTGTCCACTAATCAGATGAGCCTGGTTTTGAAAAAGGCCCGGTGCTCACTCAGTACTAGGTCCAACATTGGATTGATAGATGTTAACATGGAAGTTGCTAACAATTGAGTGTTCTGTTTACCCTAGGGTTCGGGGTTCAGGCCCTGAACCTTAAACCCCTAAACCCTAAACCCTGAGCCCTTAACCCTGAACCCTAAACCCTTACAGTCCGGGGTTCAAGGCCTGGGGCTGCGCCCCACACATTGCTGCACCCTTCTGAAAGGAATCTGCATCCTGATGCCCCAGTACTTATATGGGGTTTAGGGGTTTAGGGTTTAGGGGGGCTTCCCAAAATTAGGGGGTACCGTTTCGCTCACCATTTTGGAGGTCCCTAGAATAAGGATTAGGGTAATTTTTGGTCTATATTGGGGTCCCCTTATTTTGGGAAACTGCTATATTAAACTTCCTGTATGATCTTAAATGCCCTAAACCTTGGGAACTGTGGCATTCTGGTATACAAAGGTCATGCAAGCATGTCAGCATCAATAGTATTCCTTAGAGCAAATTTCCTGCATGACCTTCTGAAAACACAACAACTACATGCCTTAATGTCGAGGCAAGTTTAGGTGTCTGGCTCATGTACGACACACCAACTTACCACTGCGTCCGGCCAAAATCCTGCAACTTTACTGCGCTCATCACTGCTGCTGCTACTCATGATCTACATATGGGCCCGAAGAACTAGGCTGTTGTTAAGGAACTGAAAATCAACTTGCTATAACAAGGAAACTCTATCATTTACTGTATGCCCACGTTATGTTATGGTAACTTAACTTAAGTTCATTAACAGCAACCCATAGAGACGGAGGAGTAAATCCCAAAAGTATGCATATATGCGCGAACTAATCAGAAACTTCAAGCACGACAGCAGGATTCCCTCAACCCTCTCTAACCCCTAAACCCCAAATCATTTCATGATGATTATAGCAATGAACTAATACTAAAGCCTCCCTAAGGTCCCAGATGGTCACTTCCCTATGGTTTAGGGTTTAGGGCTTAGGGGTTTAGGGTTTAAGGTTTAGGGTTTAGGGCGAGTCCGCAGAGTAATTGCTCGAGTGCGCTTTTGAACCAAGCCAAGCGGGCCCTACAAACAACCAGCACTCCAAGCTATTGGGATAATGGAAAAGTAAACGGAAACTACTATTCTATAGTAGGGTAT